GATCCGGCCGCTCCCGCATCACCTGAAACCGGCGGCACGGCGCGCGTGGGAGCAGGCCACGCGTGGCGCGGCCGCGCGCGGGCCGTGCAGGGGCACGGGGGGACACGGCGGGGTTGCACCGGGTGTCCGCTCGCTCGCGCCCGCGCCGCCGGCCCCCCGTGCCTCCGCTTCCCCGCGCGGTGCCGCTGCGAGGCGGGCGGGGGGCCCGGCTGGCGCCCCCCCCCTCCCCCGCGCGCGGGTACCCGATCCGGCCGCTCCCGCATCACCTGAAACCGGCGCCGCGCGCGGGTGTCGGGTTCGCGCTGCCGGCGCCGCCGCGAGGTCACGGCGAGCGCGGCCGGGGGGCAGCGGCGCCCCTGGCGGGGGGACACCCCCCGAGTCACCCCACGGCGTGGGGGGCACCCCCCCGGCCGCCCCCGTGCCTCAGTTTCCCCGGAGCGAGGGGACCCCCGGGCAGCGGCCGCGCTGGGCGGCGGGGCAGGATTCACCCCCCGCGGGCGGGATTCCCCCCGCGCCCCCTCCCGCAGCGGTGCGGGGCGGGGGGGACACGCACGGGACAGGGCCACCCCCCCCTCGCGACAAGGCCGGCCCCGCCGCCCGGGCCTGATTGACACCTGCAGCGCCCTATGGCAGCGGCGGCCTCGCGGGGGCGGCCAATGGCGGCGGGGGGGCGGGGGCGCCCCCCCCCCCCGGGCATCGCTCCCCCCGCGCGGGCGCAGGTGAGGAGGGCGCGGGGGGGACGCGGCGCCCCGGGGGGGCGGCCGGGCCGGGGCTGCCGCCACCGGCGGTTTCTGCCCACGCGTGGGAACCCCCATGGGAACCCCCCCCTTGGCACCCGGACCCCCAGCTCCTGCAATGGGCGGGGCCATGGGGCGGGCAGGGGGCTCACGGCGCCGCTGTCACTTGTCGCTCCCGCAGGTGGGCTGCGTGGGAGCGGGGCCCCGGCCCGGGCATGTGCTGCTGGGCCCAGCCATGTCCCCCCCCGGCCGGCGGGCACCCCCGGCCCCGTGAGGACCCTGCTGCCCGGACGCCGGGGCCCCCGGCGCCGCCATGGCGCAGGGCTCGCCGGCGGCGCCGTGGGAGCTGCCCGCGGCGGGCAGCCGCTCGCGGAGCTCCAGCAGCGAGGCCAGCCTGGCCGCCCACTGCCTCCTGAGCAAGCAGAGCCGGCTGCTCAACGGGGCGGCGCGCGCCGGGGCCCGCACCGCCTCGCCCATGGGCCGCGTCATCCTCATCAACTCGCCCATCGAAGGTGCGTGCGGCGCCGGGCAGCCCCACCGGGACCTCGTGTTCCCCGCGAGGAGCCGGTGCGGGACGCGGGCCCCTGTCCCCGGGGTGACGCGTGCCGGCCGCCGTGCCCGCAGCCAGCAGCAACGAGAGCGACAGCATCAACGCCGTCACGGTGGAGAAGAGCGCCGACGGCAAGCTGGGCTTCAGCGTGCGCGGCGGCTCCGAGCACGGGCTCGGCATCTTCGTGAGCAAAGTGCAGGAGGGCAGCGCCGCCGGTAAGGGCCACAGGGCGCCCRTGGGGACACATGTGCACATGCCCATGGGGACACACGTGCAGTGCGGGGAGCTGCTCGGGACATGGGCACCGTCCTGCTGCCCATGGGAGGGACCCACTATTCCATCCTCTACATCCTCCAGTTCAGGCTGCCCTTGGGAAAGGGCCTTGGGTGATGGCTCTGAGCTCCAGCCAGGCCATCTCCAGGTCACATGAGGTGACAACTCTCCCGTTCCTGCTACGGCCTCAATACGGACCTACATCCCCATGGGGGTCACTCCCGCAGCCTGGGTGCTCCATGGACTGGTCTTTCCCTGGATTTGGCCTTCCGCGATGTCCCTGGGATCCCCACCACGGGGCTGAGGTGCCCGTGCGGACAGGATGCCCGCTGAGCCGCGTGTGCCCCGCAGAGCAGGCCGGGCTGTGCGTGGGCGACAAGATCACGGAGGTGAACAGCGTGAGCCTGGAGAACATCACCATGAGCAGCGCCGTGAAGGTGCTCACGGGCAACAACCGCCTCCGCATGGTGGTCCGGCGCATGGGCCGCGTGCCCGGCATCAAGTTCTCCAAGGAGAAGACGGCCTGGTGAGCAGGGCATCCCCGGCCTTGGGACCACCAGGCCCCATGGAGAGGGACACTGGGATGCTCTGAGGGAGCCAAGCCCATGGTTGGGTGGCAGGGAGGGCGCAGGATGGATGCAGTGATCTGTGGGGTGGGAAGGACTGGAGCGGGCAGGGTGGGTGCGAGCCGGATACATCCCTGTCCCCAACGCCCCCTCCCCATCGCTGTCCTTGCCTGGACTGTCCCAACGGCCTCATCCCGCTGGAGCACGAGAGCCGGAGGCCGCAGCTCCCTGCCTGCAGGGTGGACGTGATCAACCGGCGCCTGGTGGTGGAGAAGAGCGGCTCGACGCCGTCCGAGAGCGGCTCYGAGGACGGCCTGCGCCGCATCGTCCACCTCTACACCACCTCCGACGACTACTGCCTGGGCTTCAACATCCGCGGCGGCCGCGAGTTCGGCCTCGGCATCTACGTCTCCAAGTACGGAGCACRCGGGGCGGCCCCGAGCCCCAGCCGCGGGCGCTGGGGCCGTGGGGCTGCYGGGCGCACGTGTGGGGCAGGCCCGGCCCCATCCTGCCCCCCTGCCGCCCTAGGGTGGACCCCGGCGGGCTGGCGGAGCAGAACGGCATTCGAGTAGGAGACCAAGTCCTTGCAGCCAACGGAGTCAAGTTTGAAGACATAAGCCATAGCAAGGCAGTGGAGGTGCTGAAGGGGCAGACCCACATCATGCTGACCATCAAGGTGCCCGCGCGGGGCGGCGCGGGGGGTCGGTGCCCGCGCGCTGGCGCTGGCGCTGCCCCGGCTCGGCTCGGCGCGGTGCCGCGCTGTGCGCGCCGCTTGGGTTTCAGGCGGTGGCACGGGGGACGCATCCATTATTCACGGGCCGCGGCGGGATCGGGTTCGCGCGGGGCGGCCGGCGCGCTGACCGCCGCCTCTGCTCGCTCTGTGCCTAGGAGACCGGCCGCTTCCCCGCCTACAAGGAGCTCGTGGCCGAGTACTGCTGGCTCAGCCACCGTAAGGGCAGCGCCGCGCGGCCGGCCCCGCGCCCCGCTGCCCTGGGCCCTGGCACCGGGGGGACACGGGGGGGTGGGGAGAGGGTCTGAGCTCCCCATCCCAGCGCCTGGCGGTCCCCATAGAGCTGGGTCTTCCTGTGCGTCCCCTGCTCCTTTGAGGGGACACGGGGGTCCCCGTGCCATGTCCACCAGCCTGGCGGTCCCCATAGAGCTGTGGATTTCTGTGTCCCCTGCTCCTTTAAGGGGCACAGTGGTGCCATGCCGTGTCCAGTAGCCTGGGGGTGCCCATAGAGCTGTGGGTTCCTGTGTGTCCCCTGCTCCTTTTAGGGGACATGGGGGTCCCCGTGCCATGTCCAGTAGCCTGGCAGTCCCCATAGAGCTGTGGGTTCCTGTGTGTCCCCTGCTCCTTTTAGGGGACACGGGGGTCYCCGTGCCATGTCCAACAGCCTGGCAGTCCCCATAGAGCTGTGGGTTCCTGTGTGTCCCCTRCTCCTTTTAGGGGACACGGGGGTCCCCTAAAACAGGCTGCGTGTCCAGCAGCCTGTTGGTCCCTGTGTGTCTGTACGGTCAGAGGGGCTCCCCGTGCCCGCCAGGGTGTCACCCCCGTCCCTGCTGTGCCTTGGCAGTGACCAACGGGCAGCTGCAGCAGCTCTCGCAGGCCTCGGAGACCAGCTCCTCCATCTCCTCGTACTCGTCGGGGCCGGCGCCGGGGGCGCTGAACGGGCCGGGCGCGCCGGCCCGCACCGTGGACGTGGCCATCTCCACGGAGGACGGGCCGCGGGGCGGCCGGGGCCGGGAGCGCGCCGAGCGCGCCATGCAGACGGAGCCGGCGGCCGAGGGGCTGCCCGAGACGCGGYGCACGGTGCGGCCCCCCGAGCTGCTGCGCGACACGGCCATCCGGGGCGGCGCGGGCGGGCGCGAGCCCCCCGGCGCCCTCGCGCGCCGCCCCTTCGCCCACTCGCCCAAGACGGCGCTGCTGCTGGCGCTCAGCCGGCCCCGGCAGCCCATCACGCGCTCCCAGAGCGACCTCACCGTGGCCGGTAGGCACCCAACGCTGCCCCATGCATGCCACCCCCTTGGACCCCCAGTCCTGGGCTCCCCAGGGGTCCTGCACCCCCCTTGCCTCAGCTGGAGCTCCCACAAGACCAACCCTATCCTCATGTCCACGCCTCCCCATAGCCCCAGCCCTGCAGGTTGGGGTCTCCCCACATTGTGCCCCATGCCCACGGCTGTGCCCGCTCCCTGCGTGCCCTGTGGGGCGGGGGTCCCRCTGTGCCGACTCCCCCCTCTCTGCCCAGAGGAGAAGCGGAAGAAGGAGAAGCCGGAGGGGCAGAGGGTGCGGGGSGCGCCCCCCGGCCTGCACCGCTCCAAGACCCTCGTGAACCTCTTCTTCAAGGGCGGCCGTGCCAGCAGCCAGAGCTGGGCCCCCCCCGGGCAGGAGCCCCCCGCGCCCGAGCGCCGGGCGCGCGCCAAGTCCCCGGGGCGCCCCGACGGGGACAGAGGTACCAGCTTGGGGACGGGGCGGAGCGGGACACCCTTGTGGGGCAGGTCCCCCCAATGCAGTCACCACTGTGGGGCCCTGCAGCCCCTCGCTGTGGGGCGTGGGGCAGGTTCGTCCCCGGGGCTGGTGCTGCCTGTGCCCCCCATGGGCGCTCACCCCCGACGTGTCCCTTGCAGTAGGCGCCGTGCAGAAGTGCGTCATCCGGAGCCTCAAGCGGGGTAACGGGGGTGCCCGTGTGGCGTGCGGAGCCTGCATGGGGGTGTCCTTGCACGCTGCGCCCCCCCGTGCCGTGTGTGCATGTGTGTGACCATAGCACGGACCGAGCCCGCGGGCACCGGGGTCGACCCYGCTGCGGCGCACGGAGGTGTCCAGGGGGGCCGTGTCCCTGCTCTGTCCCCTCTCCGCAGAGAAGAGCCGCCGTGCCAGCATCCTGGGCGCCGCGGGCACGGCCGCGCTGCCGCCCGACGAGCCCGAGGGCCGCCTGCCGCGCATCCAGGACACGGCCGCGCGGCTGCTCAGCGCCGACGAGGTGGCCGCCGTGCTGCGCCACTGCACCCGGGTACGGCGCCGCAGCGCTGCGCGCCGCGGGACGAGCGCGCGGCGCTGCTCACAGCCCGCTTCGCTGCAGTACCTGCACGAGGGCGGCGTGGAGGACCTGGTGCGGCCCCTCTTAGCCATCCTGGACCGGCCCGAGAAGGTGCTGCTGCTGCGTGACGTGAGGTGGGTGCCCGTCACGGGGACCTTCGTCGGCGTCCCCGGGCGAGCGGCTGCCAGGCGGCCCGTCCCCTCCGCAGGAGCGTGGTGGCCCCCACGGACCTGGGCCGCTTCGACAGCATGGTGATGCCCCTGGAGCTGGAGGCCTTCGACGCCCTCAAGAGCCGCTCGGGTAGAGGCGGGCACTGGGGCAGCGCGGGGCTGCAATGGGGCACGGGTACCCCATTGGCGCTGGGGCAGCGCGGGGCTGCAATGGGGCACGGGTACCCCATTGGCGCTGGGGGCGGCGCGGGGCTGCAGTGGGGCACGGGTACCCCATTGGCGCTGGGGGCGGTGCGGGGCTGCAGTGGGGCACGGGTACCCCATTGGCGCTGGGGGCGACGCGGGGCTGCAGTGGGGCACGGGTACCCCACTGGCACTGGGGGCGGCGCGGGGCTGCAATGGGGCACGGGTACCCCACTGGCACTGGGGGCGGTGCGGGGCTGCAGTGGGGCACGGGTACCCCATTGGCACTGGGGGCGGCGCGGGGCTGCAGTGGGGCACGGGTACCCCATTGGCGCTGGGGGCGGCGTGGGGCTGCAGTGGGGCACGGGTATCCCATTGGCGCTGGGGGCGGCGCGGGGCTGCAGTGGGGCGCTGTGGGGCGCCTGCTGAGCCGTTGCCGTCCCTGCCCGCAGTGCGGTCGCCCGCCCTCCGCCCGGCCCACCACGATGTCCCCCCCAAGAGACACCTCATCACACCAGTGCCTGGTGAGCGCCCCATGGCAAACGGCGCCTGCTCTGCCGGGGCCGGGAAGCTGGGCACAGCCGGGGGCTCCGGCTGCTGAGGATGATCCCGGCTGCCCAGGATGTTCCTGGGTGCCGTGAGTCACTAGGGATGAGCAGAAAGTGAAGCCCGGTGCTGCTGGGTGCTGGGGTGTGGAGCTGCTGGAGAGTCCAGCGCAGGGCTAGGAGGATGATGAGGGGCCTGGAGCATCTGCCCTGCGAGGAAAGGCTGAGGGAGCTGGGGCTGTTCCGCCTGGAGAAGAGGAGGCTGAGGGGGGACCTGAGCAGTGTCCGTAAACACCTCAAGGGAGGCAGGGAGGAGGAGGGGTGGCCTCTTTTTGGTGGTGGCCACTGATGGGACTAGAGGAAACGGCCACAAACTGGAGCACCAGAAGTTGCCCGGGAAGTTAAGGAAAAATTGCTCGATGGAGAGTGACAGAGCCCTGGCACAGGCTGCCCAGAGAGGCTGTGGAGTCTCCTTCTCTGGAGATCTTCCAARCCCTCTGGATGCAGCCTGTGCCACATGCTCTAGGTGACCCTGAATGTGCGGGGGGGTTGGTCTGGGTCATCTCTGGAGGTCCCTTCCAACCTTAGTGATTCTGTGGCATTCCTGGGTGCCAAGGATCCTTCGGGATGGGGGTAGATGTGTTCCTGAGTGCTGGGATCTTCCTGGATCCCAAGGATCTTTAGGGAWCAGTAGGAAGGGGTGAGCGGAGGGGGCAGTGCTGGGCACATTCCTGGGTGCAGAGAACGTTTCTGGGTGCTGGGGCTTTCCTGGGTACCACGGATCCCTAGGGATGGGTGGCAAGGAGTGAGCTGGGGTAGGGGGAGGGAGGAACATGTGTCCGGTGTTCCTGGGTGCTGGGATGTTCCTGCTTCCATGGATCCCTAGGGATGGGCGGGAAGGGGGGTCCTGTCGCTCCCGATGCCAGGCGCTGCCGCCTCTCCCTGCAGACTACCGGGGCGGATTCCTGCTGAAGCCGGCGGGAGCCCCGGAGCCGGAGGAGGCCGGGGCTCCGCGGGCCGCCGGCAGCCCCCGGCGCTGCCACCCGCCCCGCTCCTACACCCCGCTCCCCGACGTGCC